AGTAAAAATAGGGAATACACCCACGACGTAACTGAATACGTAACCAAGACGAATATGACGGGACCGAACCCGGAGGCCCTGACCGCCTTGGGGGCACCCATTGGGAGGAGGAGGTAGACAGAGCGATCTCTGCCCTTAAGGGTAATAAAGCCCCGGGACCGGACGGCTTTGACGGCTCCTATTATAAAACATTCAGAGAAGTGCTGACTCCGAGACTGACGAAGATGTACAACGAGTGGATGGACGGTGGACATCCAAACCCGGACATGCTCACGGCTGACATCGCACTCATACCCAAACCAGGACGGGACTCAACTGAAGCAGCAAATTACAGACCCATCTCCTTAATTAACAACGACGTAAAAATCTTTGCAAAAATACTTGCAACAAGATTAAACCCCCACCTGGGCAACATAGTACATCCAGACCAGGTCGGCTTTGTGCCGGCACGGCAACTGTATGAAAATACAAGGAGAGGTGCAGATCTCATATGGTGGGCGACTCGGACCCGGACGCCTTCTCTGATCCTATCCCTGGACGCGGAGAAGGCGTTCGATAGGGTGCAATGGTGCTACCTCTTTGCGCTACTAGAACGCCTACACATGCCAGAAAACTTTGTTAAAGGTATCAAAGCCCTATATACAGACCCGAGGGCCCAGACCAACGTACAAGGAGCAACCCCGACCCCATTTACGCCCGCTAATGGCACTAGACAAGGCTGCCCCCTCTCCCCTCTGCTGTTCGTCCTCTCGTTGGAGCCTCTCCTGCAGAGGATACGGGAGGACAGGCACATAACTGGGGTCAAGGCAAGGGACGACGAATTTAAAGTCTCCGCATACGCGGATGATGTCCTGGTCACGATCACCAACCCGAGAGAATCCCTGCCCCGACTAGAGGAATACGGACGCATCTCAGGCTATCAAATAAATCTAGAAAAATCGGTAGCCATGCCAATAGAAATGGACGCAGATAGCATTAATGACATTAAAAACACCTATCCCCTCAAACTTACGAGATCGGAAATTAAATACCTTGGCGTTAAACTCACCGCGGACCCGGTGAAACTATACAGCGCCAATTACCCGCCCACAATCCAAGCGCTTTGTCGCGACTTGGAAAAATGGCACGAAAAGCCCATATCGTGGATTGGCAGACAACATGCAATAAAAATGACACTACTCCCAAGACTACTGTTCTTGTTCCAGGCCCTACCCACCAAAGTCACTAAACAAGACCTGCAGACAATCCAGAAACACATAAATAACTTCATTTGGGCACAGAAAAGACATAGGATCGCTAGACAAGTAATGTACCGACCGAAAGCGAAGGGCGGGCTGGGACTCCCACACCTGTATCAATACTACCTGGCGGCGCAATTAGCCCAAATAATAGCATGGCACACCCGGGAGGGCTCGCATAGGTGGGTGGACCTAGAGACAAAACTTATGTGTACGGACCTTCCACAATTCTGGATATGGGTACCCAAACAAGACATACCATCCTTACGCACCTCTTGTCCGGCGATCCTTAACTCCATAAGGATCTGGGACTTAACAGCCACCAAATACGCACTAAAACATACACCCTCGCCGCTGACACCATACCTACGGAATAAGGCATTTGAGCCCGGGCTGACAGCACGAGACTTTAGGGGGATAGAATACACAGGAATGCAAAGATACGGACATATGTATGACGGCGACTCCTTCAAAACCTTTGACACCCTAAAAGCCATGGCTCCCCTGACGACCAAAGACGTATTCAGATACGTACAGCTGCAAGACTTTGCCAAAAACCCAGATATCAAAAAAGCAGCACAAACCCCTATGACATTTTTTGAACAAATGTGTAACGCAGAAACTACTCAAAAGGGGTTGATCACGGCCATATATGCGCAGTTGAGTGCCCCAGTAAAGGGAACCGCAGACCCAAGATACATACACCAGTGGGAAGAGGACCTAGGGGGGGCCCTAGAGGGGGAGGACTGGGTTGATATTTGGGAAGCGACGGCCAAAACGTCGATTTGCGTATTACACCAAGAACAATCCTATAAAATGCTTATGAGGTGGTACACAACACCGGTCCAACTCCACAAGATGGGGAAAACCTCGACAGACACATGTTGGAAAGGTTGCGGGGGAAAAGGCACCTTTGTTCACATGTGGTGGGAGTGCCCTGAAGTGATCAAATACTGGAAAAGGGTGCAAACATTATCGAAAGAGGTTCTCACGCGACACATAGACTTAGATCCCTGGGCGATGCTACTGTCCCGACCAACGGACGGCCTTCCTAGGAAGGAACAACAACTTTTAAACAAACTCACACTGGCTGCGAGAAGAGCCCTCACGCAGATGTGGCTTAAACCCACAGTCCCCACAGACAACGACGTGATAGTTAAAATCAAAGACTCATATTTGATGGATAAACTCACAGCACAAATCAGAAATACGGAAAAAACATTCCTAAAAATCTGGCATCCCTGGGAAGCATACGCTAACGAAGACGCTATATAGCCTGACTAAGGTTTGTAGCAGTTCGGCGGACCTTCTCCCGCCGGGTGCCCCGAGGAACAACGAACACCTCCCCTCCTCCGCCCGCTCCCTCCCCAAAGCACCACTCAGTAGCCCCCCCCCCCTCCCCAACCCTTAAACCACCAACCATACGAGGCTCCAAATCACAGGAAAGCCGGCTGACGCGATTGCCGGGTGACGCAGCTGACACAAATAAAGGGACTCAACCAGGCAATAAAAACATAACAAAGCACTCGTAGCAAACGGCCACAACACAATTGTGCCGAAGACGTAGGGACTCCACACATAACCGACCGGGACACCAATCCCTTCGGGAAGTAGCCCAAAGAGGGGATATACACCACCTAAGGGCCTCCAACAGCCCAAAAGAGACTGTCATGGGGGGAATAACACCCAACTCGAATCTAGGCGGACATCCCCTAAAGAGACGGATAAACGAGGAGCCCGTAGCCAACACAGTATGATACCAACCAGAGGCGTTAGCAATCATAAAGGGCACACCAAAGTAGGCATCAATAAGAGTGAGGCACAGACGACCAAAACTATGACGCAACAGATGACCGAAGTTAGGAATGTAATAGGTTAATGGTTTTCATGATATATAAATGTTACACGCAATGTAAGGTAATAGTTTTTGTTTTTGTTTGATCTCGGGACCGGAACGGCCCTAAAACTGAAAAAAGGCACCAAACGGCCCACTGCAACCGGATTTTCCGACATACCTTTTAATCTTCTCTGTATAATGAACTGCAATATATTTTACAGACAGGCCCCTGCGAGGGACACTTTTTGTTGGTCAGTGGTACTTGATGTCGAACCAAAAATAAAGAATTAAAAAAAAAAAAAAAGGGATAAAATTAGTATGAGTCCCACTTGATGTGTTTCGCCACTCCAAGGCTTTTTCAAAAGTGCAAGTTAGTCCTTACAATGTTCCGTTTTTATATCGCTATTGTAAATGGGCTTATTTCCATCAACGAAAGAGTATCGCCGTTAGGGAAACCGGAAATTGGACCCACCAGAAAGCCAATTACAATCTAGACCTTGATATAAAAATGGAACATTGTAAGGACTAACTCACACATTTTAAAAAGCCTTAGAGAGGCGAAACACGTCAAGTGGTACTCATACTAATTGTATACCTTTAAATGTTTTTTATTACTATTTTGGTTAAATAAAAGTTTACTTTTTATAGCTATTTATTTTTTATTTTTGCAGAATTCAAATTAACGTTTGAACCATTGGGAAGGGAAAACAATGCTGCCACTGTCCTAATGCATATCAAACAAGGGAACCATTCTGCCTCAGATTACTAGACTAATAATGGATTAATCACTGCATTTGCAGAGGGATTATCCAAAGCTATTCTTGGTGAAATTGCAGTCAAAGAACTACCAGGGAGGTTAAATGAATACATCACTCATATGATGCATATCGATAACCGACTTCGGAACAGGAAGATAACTAGAAACAGAACCAGACGTATGAATATGTCACTGGCACCTCGCTTCTCCAATCCTGTTGTCCCTGGCCCTTCTGTGCAGTCTGAATCTAAACCTATGCAGTTAGGGGTTATTTGGCCTTAGCTTATACTGTAGCAAAAAAGGACATATAAGAAATGCTTGTCCCATACACCCGGAAAGGGGAGCGTCCTTAGGCGTGAAGTATATGCCCCCTGGTACTACCCAAAGTCGATTTCTCCTTAGTGTAGCTGCTCAATGCAATAAGATAAGTTTAACGTGTAATACCCTGATTGACTCAGGCGCTGCAGAAAACTTTATTGATATGCAATTTTCCAGTAAACACATTAAACCAACCAAGAATAGATCTTCACCCTTGGCCGTCGAGGCCATTGATGGGAGACCTCTTTCTAAGCCTCTTATTACCCAGGAAACACTGCCTATCAATGTCACGATAGGAGTGTTACACAATGAAATCCTCACATTTCAGATAATTGTGTCCCCTTTTTGTCCCATTATATTGGATTTCCATCGCTTGCTAAGCATAATCCTTGTATTGATTGGGCTAAAGGGGAAATACTGGAATGGGGTAAAGAATGTAGATAGAAATGTATGTTACCTATTACCAAGAGAGTGGGTATCGTTAATCCATCTACTCTTACACCTCAGTCTACCGAAATTCCTCTGCATTATAAGGAGGTTAAAAAAGTGTTTAATAAAAGTCACACTAATACCCCCTCACAGATCCTATGATTGCTCCATGGATTTGTTACCTGGCACCATACCCCCTAAAGGGGGAGTATATACCTTATCACCACAGGAGAGTAAAAACTATGGAGGAGTACATTAAAGAGTCTCTACAAATAGGTCACATACGTAAGTCTTCTTCACCTGAAATGCGGGGTTGCCCCTATTATCCTGGTCCTCCATGTAATGCATGACTTGGGTGTAATTTGTTTCCAGGAGTGTTTGATGGTATCTCTATCTTCTTCTAGGTCCCCAACCCTATGTCCGATCAGGCGCATGTCCGAACACAAGGCCTGTTCATGGAAAGAAGCCTTCAGCCTTGCCAACATGGAGGTCTGATCTTCCTTTGAAGATAGGTCCTGGATCATTTATTTTAGGTCAGGCTCCCTGGAGTAGATTGATTGGTCCGATAGTTGTGGACTACTCCTTGGAGGAAAGCTGCGTGGCACATGTGGTGCCATAATATCTTTGGAGTCTCGCTCGAAAACTTGAACATATGGAAGAGCTCAAGTTCCAGCTGGGTACATACAGTGGCCACTAACAGAGATCTTTGGCTTAAAGGACCAGTGAAGGCATCTCAATAAAGTCTGGGAGCAGGAGCCCTTTAGTTTTAACACTACAATGTAAAACATTGCAGTTTTGTAGAAACTAGTGTTCCATTGCAGTGTTAAACAAAATTTAAGGCGTTTCCTCACAAGTCATTAAAGGCGTTTCCTTATGAGAACTTAGTTAGACTTGGTTCTCAATCAATTGCTGCTCCACGCATGCACACTAGCAGCCCCGAGGCTTCCCTATGTGGAACATTGAATCAGCTGAGATTATCAACCTTGATGATCACAGCCAGGATGCGGAGTGACCACAGCAAGTGCTGAAAGGTTAAGGAATACTGAAGCGCTCTCTGCATGGTCCTAGTTCATTTTCACAGCACATGCGCATCTTATGACATAGAAAGCCCTAAGGGAGAAACATGTTGTGGTTTTTATGCTCTTGTTAAAATAAAGTATTTTGGCTACCTCATATATTTTTAGAACTTATAATTTATTTTTATACTTTTACCTGACATCTGGACCCATCACCTTCTGTGGACAACCAACCAAAGAAATCCTTGGTGGGGATTACACCACCCAGGCTTGATACATAGAGCAGTTAGTCTGCTCACTCTATTGTAAGTATATTTTTATTCACCTTATTGATACTTACCTATCTATATAGAGAGCACTATTGGCTGCTTTTTTGTCATTCCACATGATCTACCTCATCATTATCCAGTTGTGATTTACCATCATTCTACTGTGTACCAAAACCAGAGGGATATCCTGCAAGTGGGGATTATATACCACTGCATGCTGTTTTACCTACAGCTGGTTATAGCTCTACCATATGTGAGTTGTACATCTTATCAAAGTGTCATTTGTCCTACCACGTACTACCATATTGCACTATTGGTTTGTCTCTATTTTTGCTTCCTTTTCATATTCTGCTATTAAGCAAAGCTACCAAGAAATTCCCATACCAGGACTAGAATATCTATTGCCACCTTTGAGACTGTGGTACCATTTGGTATTTTTTATTCTTTTAAGTTTTATTGTGGACTCTTTATATATCCTGTGGGGTTTTATAGCTCTTATTGATTTTATTGCTCTTATTATTATATACCATTGTGTTTGGAGTATTTTTCTTGGCGCTACCTGTATATTGTTGTTTGACTTGTTCTAATTTTCTTGGGGGTTGGAGGGATTCCCCTATTATCAGGTGTGCTGCCTCCCATCCTAGTGTTCTTAGTTTGTTTAGTGCTGCTCTATTCCTTGTTCAGTATTGCATCTCATGACATACTCACAGTGTGCCATCCGAGGACACCCAGGACAGAATCAGGACAGTGGGACAGGACAAAATCTGAACTGTCCCACTGAAATCTGCACAGTTGGGAGGCCTGGGTAAGGTTTCCTCAACAGGTTTAAGAGGTAAAAGAAGATTGAGAAAATAGGCCCAGTGACTTCTCCGCAGTCTTTCTTTGCTCAGTACAAGCATTGGTATCTAGACTAGCCAAATCTATTATTATGCAGAATCAAGAACAATGAAGTGATGGCTGGAGGATGTGAACCTTTTCAAAGATTTTTTTTTATGGGGGGCAGGGGAGGGGGAAGAATGGAAGGTCCTTACTACAAATGCATGACATTTGAGCTGAAGAGTCCACATGTAGGCACAGTATATTTAATGGTCCGAGATCACAGACAGAGACACCATCAATGTCCTGGAACCGCTAGAAATTTACATCTTCAAATGTTTGGCGTTAATGCATCAAAGTAGAGGCAGACAATATTTTGGTGGTTGCATACCCCAGTAATCAAAGGAGTACTCAGGGCAGAAAAATTATGAGAATAATGGAAATCCTAATAGTTAAGACATAATAAAATCTCTTAAGGTTGTCAGCACTATATTTAGCAGACTTCAGATGCATGCTGGAGAATGATTCCTAAAAAGATGGTCTTTTAGGATGATAGTAAACCCAAAGTAGATGCCATAATGTTCAAGGGAAGCATAGTTTCATCTGTTGTGGAAACAGCGGATGGAGGAAGTCATCTCAACTTGTGAGTCTGTCAGAAGATAGCAAAACAAAGGTGAAATTCACTGCGATAGATTTTTGTGATCATCTCCAAGCTAAGCACTCCAATTCCTCAATGAAAATGGCCTCAATTTAATATCATTGGATAGGCTTTTTTAATTGGTTTAATATTTTGGATAAACTTTAATATTTTTCTTCAAAATAAAATAAAAATATTTATCATATATTTTGAAATAAAGCAATATCTAAAATATTTTACAACATTTCAATATTTTTTATAATTTTAAGTTATTTAAAAAGCTTATTCAACAATATTAAGATCAAGGCCAGTATCTGTAAGTTTGAAGTCATTTTCTTCAATAAAATACAAGTCATCTTACACAAATGTTAAAGCATCTGATCACTAAATAACAGATATCTGTTCCCTTATGTTATGCTATTATTTACACCTCTCTGATGAATATTTTTAAATACTCTGACAATGGCTTCAATTTATTGTTTTTCAGTTAGCTCTGCAAATGATGTAATATTTTTGGATAAATGTTTAATATGATTTAATATTTTGAAATATATGTTAAGATTTAGATATTAATATATTGATATTTTTATATATAAACTATTTTTAATATATATATATTTTTTAAACGTTGGTCCAAAAACATGAAATCATTTCAAAAAGCTTATACAAAAATATTAATCAGTCAATTAGTCAAACATGTTTTATTGAGGTTAAGTTCGTTACAGAATGCAAAAGCAAATGATTAGGGTCAGAGTATAACACAAATATTGCTATAAAGTTTTACAACCTCTTTTGTGTATTAATAATTACAAAATAAAAGCCATAATCCTTGAGATAACACCATATATGCAGTCAAAAGTGAGGATAGTAGACATGGTGAATAAAAGGCAAAATCTAGGCAATGACCAAGCATTAGGAACATTTTGTATAATCTGAATTTGCCTATATTTTCCACTAAGTCAGCTAACATCACCGAATAATGCACTAAACGGGTTAAAACTAGCAAAGAAAAAGAAAATTGACGAATAATTATTGCATATCAGATAACATATGGCAACACAAGATAGTAGTGTTGTTCCCAGAATGGACTCAAGTCCCAGATCAGCCTATCCCTATATGTGGCAAAATTGGAGTAGATCCATTAGAGTTCATGTGGAGGGCCACGTTGCTCTGCCACAGCAGGGTCCTCTTCAGCCCCAGGACTGAAAGAGGGCCAGCATCTGATATACACAGACCTGGAGGTATGGCGAGTAGGTTGAAGATGCAGATGGTAAGTGCCATTGTAGATGGCTGATCTTCAGCTGTCGTGGATGATGCTCTGAGGCTAAGCCTCTTGAGACTCTCGGGCCAGGAGGGTAAACAGTAGGACTGGTGTGCGCTTGCTGTCTTATTTTGCCCCAAGTGTCTACTTTTCGCAAGCACATGGGTGCATCATTAGTGTGCTTGCAGCTTGGCTACTGAGACTCCCTGATGCTCCATTAGCTTCTGCCAGAAGCCCTTGAATATTTTATCCAGGCATTGCAATATGTGATCTAGAGATCCACGATGGGGCTGCTGGGACGTGCCTAGGCCCCGCAAGACTGAGAGGGGATGATCAGCCATATTGTAAATGCAGAGAAGTTGTTTAAGCGCAGCTGGAGTACAGCTTGTATCAAGAAAAGTGCAGTTAAGTCAGCTCGATCAGCTTCAGTAGGGACTGGGATAACCCCCACCGGTCCAAACGGGGGGTGAAAGAATAACAGCTTATGGCTCATGTGAGAGTGGGGAAATCGGTTGCCTTGTGCTGTCCTAGGCAGCACAAGACTAAACTCGACTAAACTCAAGCACTTGCTCCTATTAGGCCACACCTCTCCCTGTTTAAGTCCAACACGCACTTTGACTGACAGACATGCACTCTCACTGATACATGATATGACATACACTTACTAAAAGATACAGTCATTGGCACATACATTGTTTAACCAACACACACTTTCACTGACAGGCACACAATCTCAGATACACATATACTGACATGCACTCACTGATTTCAAAATATGAAATATTAATCCCTGCTTTTCACCCCAGGTGCTTCTAATTACTACTGTATTGTGAAAGTGATGTGGAAGCACATAGGATAGGGAAGGGAAAATCATAGTGAAGCATTGAAAACAATTCTTTCTTCTGACGAAGCCTGAAAGTGTGAATGGCACTCGCTGCGCATGAGCAAATGGTCATCAACATTTCTCTACGAGGACCATTGGATTGACCATGCATCATCCATGGTGTTGTAGGAGGCAGAGATGAGGAGTGCAGAGGAAAAGGGCAAGTAAAAATTTGATTTTATTATTGCTGAACACAGGGGCAAGGAACCTATATAGATCTAGGGACGGCGTTACTCACTGCCGTGCTTAGCTGTCTAAGGGCACCCACAACACCCTGGAGGTCAGTCCATGGACATTGTGACACTTATAAGCCAGCCTGCAATCTTTGTCACTCAATCCGAAGCTGGGGAACTTGCGGCAGTTGTGCTTTTCTTCCAACATGGCAGCCTGTGAGGTTAACTTCTGTGGCTAGGAAAGTATTAAAGGTCTTTAAGGGATACTCTTCAGGAATTAATTGGGAACAACATTGTCATTAGCAGAAATCAGCATGGTTTTATGAAACATAGATCATTTAAAACTAATTTAATTGCATTATACGAAGAAATAATAATAACTATACATAAGTATAGATCAGGGAGTAGAAGTGAATGTGATCTGCATGGATTTTGCCACAATGTTCAATATGTTTCCACACAATAGGTTAATGTTTAAATGTAAAGAAATTGGCCTAGATGAAAATTCTTGTTCTGGGGAAGAACATTAGCTTCAAGATAGGGTACAGAGAGTTGCCATTAACGAGACTGGGTTATGCTAGAATAATGAAACTGGGATAATCTTTGACAATTAAATAATCTTTCAAAGGGCACACAACTAAGAACCACAACATGTTTGCTTTTAAAGTATGCTGTAAGGTGTCTAAACACATTAAATAATGTAAAAAAACAACAAAAAACATTAAAGTAAGAGTCAGGGCTAGGAAAGAGGGGAGGTCTTCCATATAGAAGTAAGTGGTCCTCCAGGATTCCAGGATAAATAATATACAGTCACTAAATGTCAATGCAATTATACTAGCATTGTAAATTTTCATCGCAAAAAAATTATGGATCACTCTCACATGCATGTGAAAGTATCCTGGCAACCTACAAAGTCTTTATGCTCCCAACTTTATTTATAAAAACTTACTAAAAGTGCAACAAGTATGTAAGTGTTAGCTTATGCACCTGGAATCACAATAGTGTTAGTCAATATGGATGACAATACAAAGCCCTTAAATCCAGAGGCATTTGTT